AATATTTAATATTAAATAAATTTAATATTAGAATTAAATATTTCTATTATTATAACTTTTGTTGTTGTTCAGTCGTTAAGTCGTGTCCGACTCTTTGTGACCCCATGAACCATATCCCGCCAGGCCTTCCTGTACTGTTATAACTTTATATGTTATTAAATTTAATATTTAATATTAAATAAATTTAATATTAGAATTAAATATTTCTATTATTATAATAAAGAACATGAGCTGAGGCTCCAAATCTATATGTGACGTTTAAGAGACATGGTCTCAAGCTAAAAGATGAAAATTATTAGAGACCTCAGTATTTTTATTATTGGTAACTTATTTGACTTATGCTGCATTGAACTTAGGTTTGCCATCCTGCCCACTTGTTGAAGGGTGGCCCCTAGACATGATTTATGGCCATGTTGATATGACGACATGGAGACTCTAGGAGGTATTAAAATATTTTCTTTTCAGAACAGACCTAGTGTATTTGCAGTTCAAATTAATTGTCCGGTAATAGGAGTCCACATACATTCTCTATGCATGGTCTTTTATAATATTAGAGAACCTATATTTGATAAATTCAGTAAATTTCAGAAACTGGCTCAATATGCCAACTACTCTGTTAAGTAATTTCTATAGCCCATGGACAGAAAAGCCTAGATTTGATCCCTAGCACCTCTAGTTAAAAGGATCAAGTAACAGATGAGGATAGAAGAAAACTCTACTCAAAATTCAGAACAGCTGTTGTTGGTCACTATGGACAATAAGTGCAGAACTCAAGCTGATGATAATGCAGCTTCTTACACTCCAAACCAACACATTCTCAATTTTGCCTTCTGTGAATCAGATTTTCTTGATACTATTTAGGTTAATAATTAATTAAAGTACCATCTTAATTTAAATGATCCAGGCAATGGCTGAATTATTCATTTGCATTTGGTGCAGTGCAAGCAATAAGATTACTTCTGACTGAGTAGCATTCTCCAACCACTCTGAATGACTTCATATTACAGTAGTCATAATGAGACTGATGCTGCAGTGAGATCAGAACACAGAAGAGCTGTTTGGAAGGCTTATGCTGAAGCATAAGCCTATTTGAGGAAGAGTTTCTCCTAAAACAGTACTAGTAACTCTACTTGTTTGTGGCAATTATGACAGGAATATAAAACTGAGTAAAATAAGCTTTTTACCTGTCAGAGTCCAGTAACTGAACAGTTAGAAATAAGATAAAAGATGATACTCTGAAAGAAATATTCCTTTGAGTTAAAACTGTTCACTGGACAGAGTCTTCATAAAGTAGTATGTGTGGACAATGGAACATTAAATTAACATTTTAGTAAATTATATCATTTTCAAGAAAGAATTTGCTATCAAAGATAACACTATTTTTACATAAATATATCTCACTTCAGAAATAATTTAGACAACACTTTTACCTTTTATGAACTATGCCTGTGAAAGAATACAAGTGAAACTAATTATTAGGGTGACAGAGTTTTCTTACATTGGCAAAAGATTAAACTTCATCAGAATTGCCACAGGAGGCATTAGTTTGAAAAAAAGGGGTGCGTGCTTGTTAACATCTACATGATTTAAATTTTCTACTGTTGTATACAAAACTCTGAGGTCTTCTCTCCATAACTGAAGATTTCTAACTTCGTATTTTTGGTGTATACCACTGTCAAATGATAAAGGCTGCTGATATTTTAAAAAAAAGGAAATCCAGGATTATAGTCTCAAATTCCATTATTCTGGAGTATTCATGTCATTGGCTGGTCATCGTACTTCTGCTTGACTCAAAGGATTCTGTTTTAAAAACATTCTTAAACTCTACTTTCCCATTTGCTGACTGTGTTTTTTTCAGCAAAGCAGGGATCTAGAAGGGAAAAAGACAGCAGAATGAGGATTGTGAAAACTGGTGGTGAAGTTGGTGGTGCAATGGGGTACTTAAATATGCTAAAGGAAAGCTGCTTGCACTAGCTAACCTGGACAACTTCACTACTTCTTTCAACCTCATAAGTAGAATGGCTGGTTCATTATCTATACTTATGCTTAAGAACACTGGCAGTATATTACCATTTCTTTGCTTATTATACCTAGTACACTAAGTATAAATATAGTATCCTTGGAGTAAGTCAAGTCGTATCTAATGAAAGTACAAAGGGGAAGTCTGGCTTGTTCCTTCGTCTGGAACTATGTATACCTGAAATATGCTCTCAGAATCAAATGGAGGTTTATCAATTAACTCTGCATTTCTGCTAAGCCATGTGCAACCACCATTAAGCAGAAGTTCTTAAAGGACTACATTTGACTTTTTAAAATAGGAGTCCCCCTTCAAAACCATGTCAGAAAGCAGTTCATTCTGGTGGTGGTTCTTAGAATGTTGCCTGAAATTAGGATGCACCATCTCAGAGGGCAGATGATGCTGTGATTACAGCAGGAAGATACAGTTTAGGGCAGACACAACAGCAAAGCCATACGGTTAAGGAACGCTCCACTTACTACAAATACAATTCTTTAATCATCAACAATCTTGCATAAATGCTAAAATAAGCATTTTATAAATGCAAAAACAAGACAGCCAACCAACAGAAATCAGGATCTAAATAAAGCTTGTAGATTAACATCACCCTAAACGCAGGCAAAATACCGAGGAGAGAACTGGAAATGCACAATAATTCTTCATTCTGTTTTGTTGAGATCCCACCTTTCATTCAGGAACTCAAGGTGGTGTATGTAGTATTCCCTTCTCTCATTTTTATCCCACACCGACCCTGTGAGATAAGTGGAGCTGTGAGAGAGTGACTGGGCCAAAGTCATCCAGTGGGCTTCTGTGGCTAAGGGTGCACTTCAACCTGGGTCTCCTTGGTGCTAGTCCAATACCTTAACCATTACATCTCACGTAATCAAATACTCCAGTAAGTTACATGGGAAAACTTAAGCCTTTCCCATATAACAGGTGTGGAAGAATGTTTCTCTGCCGAATCCTTAACCAAGGTAGGCCAACACAAAAAATCAGATCCCACTTGTCCTCTACAATCCCAGAATGCAGAACAAGAATAATCTGAAGCTACAGGAAGACAAGAATCTGATCAAATATTAGGAAAAAAAGGACTGAAGTATAGGAGCAGTTCAATAGTAGAGGGTTTGTGAGCTTTCCCTGGATGTGCTCAAGTAGAAACAAGACAGCCAATTGTCACGAAAGCATTAATAAACTGACAGGAGATTGGATGTGGCAGTGTAACTGGCCCCTTCTGATTCTGTGGTGGAACTTCCTTTCTGTCAGAAATTATGCATTTGTCTACAAAGTATTGATTTCAACTCAGGAAACTTATTATTGCCCTGGCATTCCTGCAACTGTTATCACATGGATCCTTCAAATCAGACCTCAAAATGTGTAATACCACTCAATGGACTTTTGCGGGCTTAAAAGTGAAGTGGACTGCCATCTTGGCAGCCAAGGATTAGTAGGAGAAAACCATTCATGAACATATACATAATAATGAGATACACTTCCGGCACGACAAATTTAGCTAAACCACTACTTCTTGGTGGCTTTTTATAGACAGCAGGCAATATATTAATGAATTCATACAGCCACGTTTTATTACTTCTTGTTTTATTTCAGGCTTTTATACTTATGAGTCAAACTGAGCTTTGTTGATTCTTTTATTCCCAATATACCTGCATACAAGAATTAAGCTAAACTGTTGGGGAGGAATGAGGTAGTTTAATATAAACAATAGCGAAAACATACTTACTGGTGGAAGTAGTGAAGGTTCTAAATGCCGCCCAAGAAATGTAAGCAGGCGCCGCCAAATTAAGCCACTGCCTAGGAACATAATTCCTGTCACCAGCCAAAACATTCCATGGTTCTAATATGGTAAGAGCACACAATGAATGATTCCCATCTCAAAACCTTCATTATATTTTTAAATCTTACTACATTTCTTAAAATGACTCATAAATCAAGGTAGCGCATTTATCAACCCAGGAGTAGCACTTAACACATCAATCATGTAGGGATGACATAGAAAGTGAACAGACCCCTGACATACGCAATGGCTCCTTTCCTTCCCATTGGGGTTCCTCCTAAACAAAGACAACTGCTTTAAGTTTCCTTCTTCTTTTCTCTCATTTGCTCTATTGGAGCTTCCAGAAACCTTTTCTGCCCTATGAAGAGGAAACTAGTGAAATGGAGAAAGGGAGATGAAGTAAAGTTGATTTCTTCAAAAACCCTCTGATCCCCAATAGGCTAAAGCAGACTGCATTTGTTGAGATAGGATTGTGATCACTGGTGTTCCTAGTATGAATTTCACCAAGTTGAAATGCCAGCCTTTTGATGTGACATGACATAAAACAACTAGAGATGCTGTGCAGTTCCATAAAGAATAATATAAAACATTATAAATAGTTTGGTAGCCTGAGACAATGGTCTCATGATGTTTCTTAAACAATGAGTATTCTATTGACAAGCTCTAACAACCTGGCATACTGCAATTAAAAGCAGCCCTTATGACCGGAATATTTTACAAATAACCTGGAATGGTATTTTCAGTATTGTTTCTTACCTCTTCAAATGATGATTCCAAATTCATACCAAATGCTACTCCTATCAATCCAAAAAGTGAGATTGAAAACGTACCCATGGTCAGCTGCAAGTTCAACCTCATCATAACATTACGGTGGCTAAAGACATAAAAGGATTAAATGTGACCATTAATATTTGCTTCAGAGATTTAAACAACCTTAGAGAAGATGCTCTTTCATACTTGCTTCTAGGACTAGGAATCCAGGTTATAACCAGAATTTTAAAAATCTACCATATTTTAGCTACACATTTTAGCTAAAATTGACATATTTTAGCTCAGCCTGTGGTACCATCTATTTAATGCTATTGTTGCTCCAGAGCAGTGTTCTTCAAGCTTGGCAATTTTAAGATATGTGGACTTCAACTCCCAGAATTCCCCAGCCAGCATGGGGAATTCTGGAAATTGAAGTCCATACATCTTAAAGTTGCCAAGTTTGAAAGATACTGCTCCAGAGGGATACATCTTTACCAATGAAGATTAGTTTGCCTATTACAGGTAGTCTGTGCTTAACAACCCTAATTATGACTGGAATTTCTGTTGCAAAGCAAAGAGGTCATTAGATGAAAAATTGTGACTGTACCACTTAGTGATAGCAGTTCTGGTAGTCCTGGTTGTGGTCGTTAGGTGAAGACCATGCTGTTGTTAGGTGAGGACCTCATGTTTCTCCTGCCCTGCTGTGCTTGCCTCCATTTCAACTCCCCCCACCCACCTATCTCCCCCCATCTCTGCCCTTTGGGCTGCCCTGCACTCTGCCACCCTGTGCAAAGCTGTGCAATTTGTTGAAGTTATGTGTGAAGATCTGACTTACATAAATTTAACTTTATGGAAATTTGGCTGCTGGCTTTTTGAACATGTGCAAAAATGGTAGATGGGCACAATGCTATTGGCAAACTGACTTACATGCTAGTTAACTTTCATACAAGGTTTTCTGCAATGGAACAGTTACATAAGTCAGGGACTGCTTGTATATATATTCAGAATAGCTTGTGGTTAAATTGATTTCATTATTGACAGAGGTCTACCAGTCCACCTGTGTAGAAGTATTAGCTTCATCCAAAAAATTAATTCATTAACACCAAAACTTAGGCACTGTCAAGTTAGCACAGATAATGGAATGCCTACAAAGCATAGCAATGTAAGTTACTAAAAATAACCAAATAATTTATAGGAATACAAAATAAATTTATTCATTTCAATTGAGAAAAAGCTTTATAAACAAAAACAATTTTAAACTTAATTTCAAATGTGTTTTAAAAAGCGTATGTTAAATGTTAACAGTATGTTCCACACAGCTAACCTGTCTAAGTTGATAAAGATGATACTTTCGGAATCATCAATCAGTATTTTAAGTTCCCGGGTTTCATTAAGAAGATCTTCTGCCTGCCTGTAGTAATTTTCCAACAGCAGTTCCATCTCCTCCACATGGTCAATTCCAGAGAGACTTGCCTCACTATGAACAGTAAGTAAAAGACCAATTGCAAACAGAAGCCATAGCGAAAGTATATTGCAACAAAATATTAAATACAAATTCACCTTTTATCAACCAACAGAAAGTTCCTCCTAGCAGTGTAAAATCTGAAGACCACTATCCCTTGAATGATATCTGCTGTGAACGTAATATCAAGAGTAATTAGCGATTAGGAAGAATCTTTAGTTGTACGTTGGATCGGCACCACTGTCATTTATCTCCCTCTAAGCATATTCAGGTTGGGGCTTTCACTTATGGCAGAAAAAGCAAATATTTTTCTTCCCTGGCAATGGAAACACCATATACTTATTGTACAGAAATCTAACAAAATCCTGATTAACTTGCTTACTTAACAGATCTTGTTCTGTTCTTATTTTGCAGGTTTTATCATTCAAAATATTTTTAAAGTGAGATTTTCAAACTATAATGGGCTTATTAATAGTCCACGTAGAATACAAACTGTAACCAAACTTACCTTGGGCTTTTTTAATGATTATAAAATATCTTTACTCAAAAGATAAAGAAGATAAATAGGTAAAAAGATATCTCTGCCAAGATTTGTAGAAATGGTACAATAATATGGTAAATGTTGTGGATATACAATATTGGAATAAATCTAATAGCCTGTCAACTGGTGATACGGTATCTACATTTATACAAAAAAATTATGATTTATTACTTTGATTAAATACCTTTAAACAGGATAAATCCTATTAAGTACAAATGAGTATCTCAGGTTGTATAGCTCAGATAAAAGAGGATATTAAGAGAAGGATGAAAATATCTTTGAGTTTATAGAGAAGAATGTAGTGAAAGGAATATAGCTTCAGGACTGATACACATTTTGGGAGCGTTAGTTATGTTAATTCCATTTACACATTTCAAACAAATTGACAAGTTAATGGTAATTTTTAATGGAATGGTAAAACATCAATGATCTTTCTGTAAAGCTATATCTTTCATGTGATAATGGTGGTTTCAATTTTCCAGACTTTAAACTAGATCACTGGGCTTATTTCAGTAACATACTGAAATTCAAAAAGGTAATGGATAGTATCATGGTAGGCCCAGTTAGTTATTATTTGGAACCTTTGAAATTCTGGTAGGTACTTTGTTCAAACTACAATAAGTACTCAGTGATTTTTTTTTTAGCACTTGGCAAATACATGCATTTGGACATTAATGGGAAAGAAATTAAAATTTGATTTGTATTCTCATTAGAAAATGATATTTTGGAACAGCCCCATTTAAAAAAATAGCCCCCCCCTTTTAAAGAATATAGGTCAAAAATGGGATAGTCGCCCTTGACCAGTTAATTGTTAATGACACTTGTAATATTTTTAAAAGATTTCAAAAGGGATAAAATTTAACTAAAGAGCTGAATGGCAATAAAAGTGCTGAATTAAACCATTACATTTTGCTACAATGACTTGTCACCCCCTCACTTAGACTACTCACCCTCTTAGACTACTACAACATGTTCTACATGGGACTGCCTTTGAAGATCACTTGAAATCTGCAGTTGATTCATAGCATAGCAGTCCATGTACTGACTGGCGTTCATTGGTGGGAGCTCATTACACCAGCATTGTGGACCCTGCACTGGTTTCCAACAGGCTTCCTGGTGCAGTTTGAAGTGCTGGAATTAACCTTTAAGCCCTACATGGTGTGGTGCATAGTTATTTGCTGGACTGCATTATTCCATTGGAGTATTTTCAGAGGTAATTTTGGCCTTGATTCCATCTTAATGTGGCTATATTCTGGTTTGGTTAATTTAATATTATTTTATATTTTCATTAGTTTGTGGACCTTTCATTTTTGTTTATTGTATATTGTTTCTTATATATTTTTCCTGTGCGCACTGAGAATCCTTAGAGATTTTGGCAATCTACACATGAAATTAAGGAACAAAAATATGTTTTGTTTGATCTGAAAACTAGGCTAATTAAAGAAATCTTTTGGGGGTTTCTTGGGCTTCTCAAAAGATGTTTAGAAAGGGCTGGTTGTCATCCTATGTTGGAGATTAAATAAATTGGAAGGCACCCTTGCACACATGATTTGGTCATGTTCTCTAGTAAAATATTAATTCAACATTGAACCAGAGTTTTGGAAATTAAGGTTTAAAGATGTTAATGTTTTGTTCAGTAAATCCTCCAAACATAGAATTTGCCTACTTATGGGGAGGTTTGGATATATTATGTCTGGATTATGTTTGGGTTTCAGACTCTAAAGGCTGGTTTAATGAAATTTGTCAGCTGTCAGCTTTTAACTAGCTTTATACCAGCAGAAAAGGAAGATGGTATAATGTGATTCCATGTGATCTAGATTTACCATAGTCTAAAAACTGAGTTGTAGCAGTTTGCATTAAAATAACAATTTGGGGTTGTAGAAAAATAGATAAAATTTGTCACTATTATATTATTTGATTTTATTTCTTATATATTTTTTCATCTTTTAATTTTTTTACTTCATTTTTTATTCTACATTTTTACATTTTTAATTGTTGTTAGCTTTTTTTTTATTATATAGTTCAGGGTGAATTGTCTGAATGGTATTCAATGTTTTGCTTTTTATTTATATTCTATTTGTACTCAAGAAAATCAATTAAAAATATTTTTTTAAAAATGTAACCAAACCTAGTTCTGAATGAAATATGCCATGTAATAGAATTCTACTGTAGAATTCTAGTAGATAATCAAACAGACTTTGAAGACAGCCCACTGAAATGCATTTGTCAGCCTCCATATTTTACAGAAACCACGTTTCTTTTAAAGGTCACAGGTCATTAACTACATAAGTGTCATATGATGGCTAGTTGGTTTCTGACAAAACAGCATTTGGTGTGCTTTTGAGGGGAGCAGTATACATTCTCAGTATAGCTATGCTACAAACAATAGCACTTGGTGAAGTTCTTCGTGCGGTGGAAAATTAAGACATTTGGAAAATTAGCCAGTTTACAAAAATAAAGAAACTTAC